CCCCAAAACCCCAAAACCCCAAAACCCCAAAACCCCAAAACCCCGTAGGATATTTACATAAAATTACGGAATTAAAAATAAAAATTGTACAATGTTGCGATCTCTATTCTCATCCCAAAGATGGAGAAAGTAATCTAGACATCATATTCTGGATTATTGTTTTTTCGCATGGAAGTTCTGTCTCTATATTTCTTCACAAGTTCTTCAATGTTTATCCGCTTTGTAGCAGGCTTGACTGCAAACCGGGAGAGGCCCTAAAAATTAGGTGAGCATCGGATAAATTGGGTTAAGACTATTGAAAAATTAACAAATCAGATTTAATTTTTTAAAGGTACGAGTTTTCAGTTTTCTATAATTTCTAAGTTATGATGATAGTAATTCTCAAAGAGGTATTATTTCAAGATGAGATAGTGGCTTACATTTTGATCTTCTTGTTTAATTCCCAAATGGGATCCCTATAAACCAAGGTTAGGTATAATTTATCTTAATTTACTCTCTAAAAATATACTATTCTCTCAGATTATTCTTCGTAAGACCCCAGAATCCCTCTTCTGCTACAAAGTAATGTGACTCATAAATCTCCTGTAAAGTTCTCTTTGACAATTCTTGAAAGAGTTTATATAAAATCCTTCGTCAAACCCCAGGTACAGACATATACCTGAAGTTCTAGACCAGAAAGGATCAATAGGCTGCTCTTAATTATACACTAGGATTCATGTAAAATTTCAAAAGAGTGCATGCCAAAAGATCAATATTTTTTTCCCAATCTTCACACTAAAAATCCCTTTCTTCCTCTCCCCCAATCCCTAGCCCCCAATATCCCTCTTCCAGGCCCCAACCTATCCCCTCCCTCTTCTTCAGTCCGAGTCATTACTCTCCTCCAGCGCCAAGGCCAAATAAGAAATGTACTTACTCAGCAGGAAGCCTTGGGTGAAGGAAGCCCGTCAAAGGATTTGAGGCACTTAAGAGGCCTATGAGGAGTGCTAAAGGGCATTTTGGGGAGGAATTAGGGATGAGGGAAGGAATGCGAGGGGGAGAAATGGGGGATTAGGGAGAGGGGGTTATGGTAACGTAATAGAATGGAAAAATTTGGGGAGGTTCGGAGATTTGGGCAGGATGGGAAGTGGTGGTGGGGTTTTGAGAGTGAGGAGAGGAGGGGTTGTTGGGAGTATAGAGGGGTTCTTTTATATATATTGTGGGAAATGAGTTAAATAGTCACTTACAGAAATATCAATTGTTCAGCCATCGCCTTGTGCCTTAATTTGCAGCTTCTCAACCTTTGTCACTTTCTTCTTATCATCCACAGAGCAAGGATTTTTAGAAGAAATCTTTATCTTCACACAAAGTATCAATCATCCAACTAAAGTTATATAACTCATCGCCCAAAGAATCATCAATCCTGCAATATTCATCATCCCCAAAAATCTCCTAAAATTCCTTAATTTCTATTTTTCAATCACCTAAATTTAAACAGGGGTTTTGGGGTTTTGGGGTTTTGGGGTTTTGGGGTTTTGGGG